GATCAGGGGGTTTGGGCGCTGCCCCCTGTCACGCTGATCCCGGTGCCAGGAGGCCTCGCGGCTCCGCTGATCCCGGTGCTGGGAGGCATATTACCCTTTTACTATATAGGATAGAGGCCTGGTTCACGGGTGGGGGCTGGCTGGTTTGCCCTGAAGGGTGTCCTGGATCAGGGTGGGGGTCCCCACTGGGGTGCCTGGCCAGCCTGGATGAGGGGATGATGGCTGTTTGCAGCTGGTCATACCCCCTTCAGGGTGGGGGTCCCCACTGGGGTGCCTGGCCAGTCTGGGTGAGGGGCTGAGGGCTGTTTTCAGGCTGGCAGGTGACTGAAGCTCCCAACCGCTACTTTTTTTCTTTTTCTTTTTTATTCTGGGCCATCTTTAGCTCTGAGGCTTGGCTCCAGCTCTTAGGCCTCCGCTGCTGAAAGCAGGTATCTGGTTTGTTTGGGTTCTATAATCGAAACGCTGTTTCAACTCCAGCTCTGAGATCCCAGCTGGCTGAAAGCAGGTTTCTGGGGTTTTATTTAGCTTCTATATTTGTAACAATGTTTCAAACTGCAAGCTCAGAGGCCGGCAGCGGCAGGCGGGCAACGTTGGAGTCCTCCGTCACTGAAGCAAGCAAGCCTCATGTTCGCTTCAAGCTTCCTGGCTGCCGGCCGCCATCTTGGCTGGCAGTTAATTTGCATATCGCCCTGATTAGCCAATGGGAAGGGTAGCAGAGGTATGGCTAATTACCATGTTTCTCTTTTATTAGATAGGATAGGATGATGGATAAAAAAATTTTTTTAATAAAATGAATTCGGAAAATTGACACAGCACTTTGTTTAAAATTAAAATATAGTTGACATACAGACAAAGCACTCTTAATAAGTACAGACTTGTACAGAACAAACTTGAAATAAAGTAGGGATTGGTGAAGTCTGTGCTTCACCAAAGGTTTAGGACTGAAATTGCTGAAAAGTTGAAGAAATGCTGTCATATGGAGGTAAAATTCTGAATGAGAGTTAAATGCAAATATAAAACATCTTATTTCCAAATGAGCAGTTTTCAAGGCTCTCATCATCCTAAGAGCTGATACAGTCCATTTTTCCCATTCATATCTTAAAACGAAAAAGAAGATTCCTGTTGGTGGTGGTGTTCGTTGTTTAATGGCATATTTCATCTCTCTGGATAAGTGAAGTCATGGAGAAGCAGAAAATCTGAATTTAGAGTTGTGGTTAAATGTATAGTGAAGAAGAAAGAGGAATGAAGTATGAAAGTGTGCAGTTAATATACTTTTGGTCTGAAATTCCTAAGCTACAAAAATCAAAATAGCTCTGTATATAAATTGGACCATTTAAGTGGCTGAGAATTGAAAGCATAGGAAAGCTGTAAACTTGTGATTTAATGAAATCAGATTGTCTATAGAAGTCATTTTTAAGACCCGAGCTTCTAGCAAAATAAATGACGACAGTTACCATGGTTTCATTGCAATGTAGATTGCATTACACACTGAAACAGCAGGGGAATTAATCTGAATGTCTAAAATCATAATGAGTAATCCAGTCATTGATGTGTTTTCCTCAAAATTCTAATAGGATAAAATTACTAAATGTGGTTATGTAAAAAAACCTGATTCCAGCTTATTGAAAATGATTCGTGTGATACAATTAATTTGTATCCAGTCCTACCCATCCTCTTTTAATAATAGCAAATATAGACTGTAGCAGTTTCATATCTCAGCATGTATTGTAAGGTGCTTGTTTGTATTAAAGACTTCCGTGTCAAGAATGAATCTCTTAGCAATTCCTTCCAGCTAACAGGAGGGTCTAATTATAAAACCCTACCTACCTCTCCCAGTAATCATCTAGCTGAAATGCTGTTAAAGGGCTGTCAGCATTATCAGGGTATTATGCGTTATCAGGGAATATATGTTTGAGATATTAACAGGACATACACATTTCCTTAGCTTCTGAGATTGCTTATGTTTTTAAAATTGAAATTCAGCTTGTCTGTGAAGAGTTTTCAGTTAGTAACATTGTATTTTGAAACAGGTCGAAACTGCAGAGAAATGAAAATCGAGATATCAGTGAGGTCATTGCTCTTGGTGTGCCCAATCCTCGGACTTCCAATGAAGTTCAATATGACCAAAGGCTGTTCAACCAATCCAAGGTACAATAGAAATAGTGTTATTTTGCTCTGGCCGGTGTTGCTCGATGGTTAGAGCGTTGCCTGCACACCAAAGGGTCAAAGATTCTATTCCTAGCCAAGGGCATATACCTGGATTGCAGGTTCAATCACTGGCCCAGTTGAGGCATGTGCAGGAAGCAAGTAAATGATGTGTCTCTCACATCAATGTTTCTCTCTTTCTCCCCTTCTCCCCCCTCACCTTCTTCCTCCCTTCTTTCCAATCTCTAAAAATCAATGGAAAAAACATCCTCGGGTGAGGGTTAACACCCACAAAAAACATAGAGTTACCTTAAGTATTGATATGAATACCAAACCTCTGGGGGAAAAAAATGAACATATAGATTTGGATCAACCTAATGCAGATGATAGAAAAAAATTGTAAGTTGTATATTATAACTTAAGAAAGAAAATGAAACAGCTCTGATTTTTACCTCTTAGAATTAGCTAAGATTTGAGACATTAGTGGAAAAGGAAAGAAATTAGGTTATAAAACTTGGCTCTGGCCCTGGTCAGATGGCTCAGTTAGGTGGAGCATTGTCCTGTACACCAAAAGCTCGCAGGTTTGCCCTAACCGGTTTGGCTTAGTGGATAGAGTGTTGGCCTGTGGACTGAAGGGTCCCAGGTTCAATTCCGGTCAAGGGCATGTACCTTGGTTACGGGCACATACCCAGTAGGGGGTGTGCAGGATGCAGCTGATCAATGTTTCTCTCCCATTGATGTTTCTAACTCACTAACCCTCTCCCTTCCTCTCTGTAAAAAATCAATAAAATATATATAAAAAAATGTTTGCAGGTTTGATCCTCCATTGGGGCCCATATCGACTTTTCTCTCTTTCATTGGTTTCTCTCCCCTCCCTACCCTTACCCCTTCCTCTTCTCTATAAAAATCAATAAAAACATATCCTCAAGTGAGGATTAAATAAAAAAAAATTTTTAAGCAAGGTAGGTGCCTGCCCTCAAAATATGGGGGCGGGGGGGGGGGGGTGCTAGATATGCCTTTGTCCTCATGCCTTTGTCCTCAAAGTCTACTGGAAAAGACAAGATTAATGTATATAAATAAAAACAAGACTGTGGTAAGAATATAAAAGTGTAAAGTTCTACTGGGATATAGCGGAGAGGTTAATTATGACTGGGGAGTTTTTAAGATCTGAAGGTAGCATTTGAGTAAGTTCTTTTAGTTAATAAGTTACTGGGTGCTTCTTATAGTCTCAGCATTGTTCTAAGCCTTTTACTTGTATTACCTTATTTAATCCTTACAAAAACCCCATGAAGTCACGCTATTATTACCTCTATTTGAAGATGAGGAAATTCTGACACATAGAGGTTTAGCTCGTAACTAATGGAACTCAGATTTCATTGATGGGCTGTCTTGATGTCAAAAAGCTTGTCTTCTTAAACACTATACACAATGGCATTTTACCAGTCTGAGCAAAGGGGGTTAGGCACGAAAGCTCCGCATAAGTAAATATTTGACAGTTACCCTTTACAACTTTAGGCTTAAATCATTTAAATTTCTCTAAATATATGGAATAAGTTTGTTGACTTAAGATTTTCATTGAGAGCCCTGTTACCTCATGCTATGATAGTGATGTTCTCAGGCAGTTAAGGGGCATATTATTATTCGGAATGGCATCAGATGTTTTATGGTACTTTCATCTTTTTGCCACTATGTCTATACAGATTCAAATTGCCAAGTAACTGCTTATACTAGAGTCCCGCAGTTTTAATGACTACTTTGCTAGTCAAACTTGTTAATGAGTACCTAATTTAAGCTAAGAACCCGAAGGTGATATGAACAAGTTTATGGACTTTTTAAATGAAGGTTGTTGAAAATGTGAGCTATAAATGAATGTAGTCAGATTCAACTTTTAATAAATTATAACATATACTTATAATGTTCTCTACAGGGCATGGACAGTGGTTTTGCAGGTGGAGAAGATGAAATTTACAATGTTTATGATCAAGCCTGGAGAGGTGGTAAAGATATGGCCCAGAATATTTATAGGCCCAGTAAAAATCTGGATAAGGACATGTATGGTGATGATCTAGAAGCCAGAATAAAGACCAACAGGTACCAAGCAAACGGTTCAGTTTCAAGGTTTGCATGAGTGCAAGTGAAGTAGTTTATAATTTGGCTCTTTCTCTTTTTCCCTAGATTCGTTCCCGATAAGGAGTTTTCTGGTTCAGACCGTAGGCAAAGAGGTAGAGAAGGACCAGTTCAGTTTGAGGAAGATCCTTTTGGTTTGGACAAGTTCTTGGAAGAAGCCAAACAGCACGGTGGCTCTAAAAGACCCTCAGATAGCAGCCGCCCCAAGGAACATGAGCATGAAGGCAAAAAGAGGAGGAAGGAATAGATACACCTCTTCACAGTGAATGGACTATTACCCATAACCCTAATGATGCAAGTCATATGGGCAAACACTTTGTAAACGGGCCAGATAAAAACCAAATCTGGGGTCAGATCCCAGCACTACTTTTTATTACAGCAGAAAGGGGGGAATGGAAAATTCTACTTTGAACTATTTAGTTTTTTTAAAGAGTGGGTTGTGTTTGTGCTTCTCCCACCTTTTGGCATTTATAGAACATACTGCCCCATAAATGAAATTAAGACCACTTCCTTTTATGTGACATTAGTACTTTGGGGTTAATATTTTGTGTAAGAATGACTGCTTGCTTATGAGTAAAGTTAACCCAACCACAGTGAGTAGAAGGATGTTCACCTATTGGAACTGTCCTGCCAAATGACGTATGCCCCTGTGTTTTAATTTGGAGTGGGGAAAAGTAAGCGCTTGCTTGGTGCACCTATTTGTTTCAAATAAAAACATTTAGACAAAATTTTGTTTTGTTCTTTTATGTAATAGTAATAGTCTTAAAAATCTTTCTCTTCATCAGATGTTTGATCCCCTTGCAAAACTTTTGGTCTCTGAGCTTGAACATGGAGCTGGAAAAAAAAAATCAATTAAGCACTGTAAAGAAAGCCAATGTCTGCAAAAACATTAAAACTGAAAACCCTTAAGACTGCCTTTTTTTTAGGAAGTCAGCACCAATAAGTCAAGAGGATGTTCTTTGTAAGACTCCCTGAATTTCAATTAAAAACTGTAAATTAGCCCAGCCTCAGTTGGTGGTTTGATGCACCAGGTCACCCAGTTCGATTCCCAGTCAGGGCACATGGGGACTCAGTCCCCAGTAGGGGGCATGCAGGAAGCAGCCAATCGGTGTTTCTATATATCTCTCCCTCTTCCTTCCTCTCTATAAAATCTATAAAAACATTTATTTAAAAAAATTGTAAATCAGCCTGACCCAAGGCCACATAATAAGTGGAAAAGCTAGGATTTCATCCTCTGATAAATAGGCTGCCATTTCCACTGCTTGGTGTTACATATGCTTGCTACCCATGACCGAGTCTTCCTTACTTCCCTCCCCAGACCTTTTAGTACTGGGCACTCTACCACCACCGCCATTCTTTAAAAGATCACCCCAAATCTCTGTCATTTCACACTTCTGACCTATTTAATTGATATACAGTAAGTACACGATATATAGAAAAATACTTACTTTTACTCCATCAATAACATGATTGTCATGTTGTAGTGCATTCTGAAGTTCTTCTTCTGAAGAAAAGTGAATCCAACCCATACCTCTGTGAAAGCCAGTCTCTTTGTCCTAAAAATTCAAAATGTAAGAAAATAATCATGAACTTGAGAAAGTTTATATAAGCTCCAAATCAAACTACCAATGTTTTATTTGCCAAAATGGGATAACAGACATTTTAATGAATGTCAAAAACCTTGCTTTAGCCCAGTCCCTGTGGCTCAGTGGCTGAGCATCAACCCAGGAACCAGGAGGTCACTGGTTTGATTTCTGGTCTGGGCACATGCCTGGGTTGCAGGCTCGACCCCCAGTAGGGGGTGTGCAGGAGGCAGCCAATGGGTGGTTCTTTCTAATCATTAAGTTTTCCACCCTCTTTCTCTGAAATCAATAAAAAACAAAAACCTTACTTTAATGGATATTCACTCTCCTAATTACCCAAAGCTTAATCCCTACGTTCATCTTAACACTAGAGGCCCGGTGCACAACATTCATGCGGGGGGGGGGGGGGGGGCGCGCGGGGGGGGAAATGGTGTCCCTCAGCCTGACCTGTGCCCTCTCACAGTCTGGGACTCCTTGGGGGATATCTGACTGCCGGCTTAGGCCCGGACCTAAGCCAGTAGTCGGACATCCCCTGAGGGGTCCTTAGCGCTGCCATAGAGGGGGGAGAGGCTCCTGCCACCTCTGCTGTGCTCACCAGCTGTGAGCCCAGCTTCTGGCTGAGTGACAGTCTCCCTGTGGGAGCACACTCAGCTAGAAGCTGGGCTCGCTGCTCCTTAGCACTGCCTCGGAGGTGGGAGAGGCTCCCGCCACTGCCGCTGCACTCGTCAGCTGTGAGTCCGGCTCTGGCTGAGCAGTGCTCCCCCTATGGGAGCACACTGACCATCACGGGGCAGCTCCTGTGTTGAGCAACTGCCCTCTGGTGATCAGTGTGCGTCATCGTGACTGGCTGTTCCACCATCCAGTCTATTTGCATACTAGCCTTTTATTATATAGGATTCTCTCTGCTTTTTTGCCACCATTGGAGAAATGAGAATGAGCTTCCTGTGCCATTCTAGATACAAATCACAGTAGCAGTAATAGTCAAAGGAAATTCTGATCACAAAAAGAAGTACTCTCCCTGTTTCTAACTTCCTCACTTCTAGAAACAAAATTTAAGCTTCAGAATCTTGTTATATTTCTGACACCAATCACCCTCATCACCACTACCATTATCACCTGCTAAAAACAGTTAATTCTAGAAAGCCTACAGAAAAATTCAGCTCAGGATAAAGTAGAACAAATTATAGATTGATTTCTAAACCATCATGAGAAAGCAATGGGAATGTAATCAATATGAAAAGTTTTTTTAAAACGCACCCAACCTAATGAGGATAAAAGTTAAAATAGATATTCTCCACCAATTTTATGATAAACTATCCTCTACGATCTCATTATTATAATACTGTAGCAGGCAGAATTCTAAGATGGCCCCATGATCCCCTTGTTACTCCCTATATAATCCCCTCTGGTTGACTGGAGGAGGAGCGGGGGACACGGACCGGTGCTATTCTAACTAAAAGAATACATGGCAAAAGTGATGGGACATTGCTCCCTTGATCAGGTTATATGGCAACGGTGATGGGGTGTGATGGGGTGTCAATCTGTGACTATATTATAAGACTTATCTTAGCACACAGAAGAAAGAAACTCCCTTGCTGACTTTGAGGAAGCAAGCTGCCATCTTGGGAAATAGCCTACAGAGAAGCCAGGAAACAAAAAACTGCAGGTAGTCCCTAGGACAGTGATGGCGAACCTATGACACACGTGTCAGAGGTGACATGCAAACTCATTTTTTTGGTTGATTTTTCTTTGTTAAATGGCATTTAAATATATAAAATAAATATCAAAAATATAAGTCTTTGTTTTACTATGGCTGCAAATATCAAAAAATTTCTATATGTGACACGGCACCAGAGTTAAGTTAGGGTTTTTCAAAATGCTGACACGCCGAGCTCAAAAGGTTCGCCATCACTGCCCTACGATCTGAGAGCAGCCTCCAGCTGAAAGCCAGCAAGAAAAGAAAAGCTCAGTCCCACAGTTGAAAGACAACAACTGCCAAAACCTGTAGGAGCTTGGAAACCAATCTTCCCCAGTTGAGCCTCTGATGAGACGAAAGTCCCAGATGACAGGCTGCAGTTACGTAGTCACTCAACAGAGGACTCGGCTAGTGTGTGCACAGAATCCTGATTTACAGAAACCGTGAGATAATATATATCCTTTGAGCCACTAAATTTGTGGTAATTTGTTCTGCAACAATAAAAATTAGCACAAGCCCTCACTGGTTTGGTTTGGCTCAGTGGCTAGAGCATTGGACTGCGGACTGGAAGGTCCCAGGTTCGATTCCAGTCAAGGGCACATGCTCGGGTTGCGGGCTCAATCCCTAGTAGGGGGCGTGCAGGAGGCAGCCAATCAATGATATTCCCTCATCATTGACGTTTCTATCTCTCCCTCTTCCTTCCTCTCTGAAATCAATAAAAATGTATTTTTTTAAAAAATTTAAAAAAAGGAAAACTAGCACAAATGCCTAGGATATGGTGGTGTTGTTTTTCTCACTTTTTAAAAAAATAAATATTTTATTGATTTTTTACAGAGAGGAAGGGAGAAGGATAGTTAGAAACATCAATGAGAGAGAAACATCGATAAGCTGCCTCCTGCACACCTCTCACTGGGGATGTACCCGCAACCAACGTACATGCCCTTGACCGGAATCGAACCTGGGACCTTTCAGTCCACAGGCCGATGCTCTATCCACTGAGCCAAACTGGTTACGGCTGTTTTTTCACTTTTTAATCAGTATCACCCAAATTTTACCAACAAAGACTAAACAGCTTCACTCCATTAGACAAACAGGTAGTTGACATGCTTTGACAAAAACAATAAAAAGGAATTAAAGAATAACATTAATACTTTAAAAATACTCACAAAAGGTACAGTGCACTTTCGTATATGGCCAAACTGTGCAAAGTGTTCTCTCAGCTCACCTGTATAGGAAGAGAAAACATTAAAAGTAGTTAATGCATTTTGTATCCTCCATCCTGGATTGTAGATAGAAAGCAAAAGGTGTCCTAGAACTCCAAACTTCTTGTGAACAGGAGCTACTTGGCATTTCCTAAAGCCTTAAGATTTAGGAGGCAGCTAAGGTGTTGACTATGAAGCTGTAATGTACCAGATTTGCGGAGGTGATGGGGTAGGGACATGGACTGATAAATTGCTGAGTTAACTGTAGTCTTCATCCCCAACAAATATCATCATACCAGACATTGTACTAAGTGCCTGCATTATAATCCCTATGAGAAGATCACATAGAAGGCAATTACAACAAAGAGATTTCCAAATAAAATCTCAATACTTGCCTTTCATAATTTAAAGTTTACACTAAGTTAAATAATTGGTTTTCTAAAATTTGTTGAGTTGATCCTACCTACAACCTTCCTGCCTTATCTCCCATTGCTATTCAGCAAATGAAATTCTGTGTATGCATGCTGTCACTTCCCATCTTTGCATGTCATTCCTTCTCCTTGACGTGTCAGTAATCCTATCTCCTCCTGCCTAAACTGTAATTATCCTTCAAGACCCAGGCCAAATACATCCATTGAATATTATTTCATTGAGCTTCTACTGAAAGACAAGACAACATACAGTACCCTATGAGGTGGGTATGAGCAGTGGATAAAGTTAAAGACCAAAAAACATGATCTCTTTCTCTTCTGAACTACAAGGCTTGTACTATCTGATTTGCATTCATAATACTTGCTTATTTCCCCTAGTTTAGTGGTCGGCAAACTTCAGCTCGAGAGCCACATGCGGCTCTTTCGCCCCTTGAGTGTGGCTCTTCCACAAAATACCACGTGTGGGCGCACATGTACAGTGCAATTGAAACTTTGTGGCCCATGCGCAGAAGTCGGTATTTTGTGGAAGAGCCACACTCAAGGGGCCAAAGAGCCGCATGTGGCTCACGAGCCGCAGTTTGCCGACCACTGCAGGGCCTAGTTCATCTAACCTCACTGGTTCAACAACCACCTACACTTGTTTGTAAGCCTCCTCCCCTCTACCACTACAGTGAAAGCTCCTGAGTGTTGAGTCCACTATGCCCACAGTGATTGATACACAGTTGGGAAATATTTGCTAAATGAATAAATGTCTGCTAACCCTTCAACAATCCAGAGACTAAATTTCTTAAGAGCTCTATAGTTGGTCAAACCAGGTGGCAAGATCAGAATCTCACAGAACATGTTACTGGAGGATAAACAAAACAGTGTTAAACATACATGTCTTAAACCAGGTATTAAAGTTTTAGAAAACATTCACTTCCAAAACAAACCAGCTCTGGAAGGTAAACCTTTCCCCAAATTAACTACAATTTTTTTGAAAAAACAGCTACAAGCACGAGGAACAATGCCTACCACATAATAGATACCCTTTAAATATTTGATGAATGAATGAACTGAGAGAGACTTTCAAAATTGAACGTTCTACAGACTCTCTTGGAGATTATACACTGAGTGGCCAGATTATTATGACCACCTGACATTTGTAGGCAAATTAGCTATAATTTCCGCACTGAAGTTGCTAGAGGGCCAGACCATTATAAATAGGGAAGCAGGTTGTTTTCCACGACAGAAGTGATTTTTTTCTGAAGATATGGGTGAACAACGCGATTTAACAGCCTTTGAACATGGGATATATATATATATATATACACTGTGTGGCCAGATTATTATGACCACCCATCAGTACTTCGTTGGGCCACCTTTTGCCTTCAATACTGCGGCGATTCTTCTTTGCATCGACTCCACGAGATGTTGAAAGGTGATGCGAGGAATCTGACACCATGCCTGATGAATAGCACTGTCCAGTTCTGTGAGATTTGATGGTTGTGGAACCAACTGCCTGATGGCTCTTTTAACTTTGTCCCACAAATGCTCAATTGGATTGAGATCTGGTGATTGTGGGGGCCACCTAAGCAAGGTAAAGTCTCCCTCATGTTCTTGAAACCACTCCTGCACAATACAAGCACCATGGCATGGCGCATTGTCTTGGAAGAAGCCATCTCCATTAGGATACGCCATCAACATGATAGGATGAACCTAATCAGCAATGATACTTAGGTATGTTGTGCTATTCAGACGTTGTTCCACACGAATTAAAGGGCCAAATCATGCCAGGAAAACATGCCCCAAACTATAACACTGCCCCCACCAGCTTGAAGGGTTGTACTCATGCATGTGGGGTGCATGCTTTCATGCTGTGACCGCCAAATTCTCACTCTGCCATCTGCATGATGCAACTGGAAACGTGATTCATCGGACCACATGACTTTTTTCCAATGCTCGACTGTCCAATCCTTGTGCTCCTGTGCAAATTGGAGATGTTTTATCTTGGTAACTGCAGACAGCAAAGGTGTTCGAACAGGCGTTAGGCTTCCATACCCCATATGATGCAGTGTACGGCTAATTTGCCTACAAACGGCTAGGTGGTCATAATAATCTGGCCACTCAGTATGTATGTTCAAAGGCTGTTAAATCGCGTTGTTCACCTATATCTTCAGAAAAAAATCACTTCTGTCGTGGTAAACAACCTGCTTCCCTATTTATAATGGTCTGGCCCTCTAGCAACTTCAGTGCGGAAATTATAGCTAATTTGCCTACAAACGTCAGGTGGTCATAATAAACTGGCCACTCGTGTGTGTGTGTGTGTGTGTGTGTGTGTGTGTGTGTATATATACACACACACACACACACACATACATACAGGCTAACCCCTATTTTGTAAAACTACTGTTTGGAATTCTCTGCTATTCTTTAGACGGCCTCTTATTCTAAAAAAAATAACTTTGCTTCCTAGCCTGCTTTAGCCTGCTTGAATAATGAGGAAGATAAACGCAGCTGTCTGACCTTGTAGGCCAGAGACTAGATAGGCCCATACTCTCAGTGCCATGCCAGGTGTATTTTTTAATTGGATAGAACTGTAATGTTTTCAAGGCCACCAGCAAGACAACCACTAAGCACACATAGGGCTGGCTCTTTCATAAAAAGGGAAGTTCTGCTTGTAGCTTTGCTTAGAATTTGAATTCATTTTCTCTAAGCCCACCGCGGTGAATAAAGTGTAACTCCAAACTCTCTGAGCACTGCTTGATTTATTCGGGTTCTCTGTAACATATATGCATATGTATAGGTATATACACACATACATATATATGTGTATATAAATTTCAGAGAGAAAAGGAGAGGGGAAGAAACATCAATGATGAGAATCATTGATTGGCTGCCTCCTGCACACCCTTCACTGGGGATCGAGCCCGCAACTGGGGCATGTGCCCTGACCCGGAATCCAACTGTGACTTCCTTGTTCATAGGTCCACGCTCAATCACTGAGCCATGCCGGCCGGGCTCTTGGAGGGTTTTTAATCCCCCATTACGGTCTGGAATCTCACATTTGCAAGATGCTGAAGAAACCCCTGAGCCTTTCTACAGTTTCACAGGGCCTAAGCAAGACATTTTACTGGGTTTGGTCTTCACCCACAACCTATTGAGAAGGTGAGACACAAACTGATCTACTTCCCATCCTACTATCATATCTGGGCCACAAAAATTAAGAGAAGCTACCCCTGTTCTATTGTTTTAAGGGAACTGACTCAACACATGGATTATCCATGTGACTGTAAGCAAATGTAAAATCTTAAGTCATAAAGATGTAAATTGTAAAACTGCTGATGTAAATTCTGGTAAGCAAAGGTAAAAACCTTACCCCAAAACAGCAGCCAAAAAAACCCCACCAATGTTGGTGAGAGATTTCAGTACTGATTACTCCTAACCTTCTATCTCCCGCCTATGCCTCTCCCATGAGCTTCCACTTTAGTAATCATGAAAATAACTACCATTTATTGAGTACTTACTCTACATTTAGCACAAGTTTAAGCACTATACATAGAAACTCGTTCCCAGTCGCATGAGGAAGGTCCTGGCTCCATTTTACAGGGGATGACATGGAGGCACGGTGGCGAGCCCTTTCCCCAGGTGCCGCCCGCGAGTCGGGTTGCAGGATTGAATGGCCGGCGAGGAATTCTAGCCACGCAGTACGGCTTCAGGCCACACTTCCCACTCGGCCACACGCAACCTCCTCTGTCCGACACATTCCAACTTAACTCCTCTCCCTGCCACCCGCTTCCCCTACATTCTAACCACGGAATCCGCCAACGTTGAAGCCTGGAAGCCATCCCTCCCTTCCCCTCACCGGGTGCTCTACCGCCTTTCAAGACATCACGTAAAGCTGTCGATTTTGTTTTGTTCGCATCAATGGTTCCGACCTCCCTTCTACCACTCCGCTAGTTCAGCGCCTCATCTTTGAGCTAAATGCCTGAAGCTGCATTTCAGTTCGTCTCCTCGCCTCCCATCTTGCCCCTTTGAATTCATCCCCAGCACCGCAATCAAATCAAACCCTTCTCAATGGTAAATCTTAACGTTCCCGAGGAAGAGCCTTTCCACCAAATCACCCCGATGGGCAGGAGAGCGTGAACACGCGCCCCAAAAGCTCCAGGGACATCCCTACACGGTTACCCGCAAGCATGTCCTTCTGCTCCTCGGTGAGCGCAGAAGCGGACCCAGCCTCCTCAGGCGGCCACCAGCGGCCGCAGGGCTGCGCCGAAAGCAGAGCTCCGGGGGGTCGCTTGCACCCGGAAAGTCCGCCCGCCACGTCCCCATCACTCACTTGAAGAGGCGGTCCAGGGGATTTTCCTGACAAAGGCCACGGGCCGACTGCTACTGGCCCGCAGGGCCATAGCGGCCCTCGCTGCCGACGCCGCCATCTTCAGCTTGAGGGACCTCGGCGACCTGAGGTCGCGACCCCGGAAAAACCTGCCGCCGCCAGAGCGCGGGGATCTGCTTCCGGGTCAGAGGGGGCCGGGCAGCGAGATGGGGAAGATGGCGGCGGCCCTGGGCTCCGTGGCTACGCTAGCGACAGAGCCTGGGGAGGACGCCTTTCGGAAGCTTTTCCGCTTCTACCGGCAGAGCCGCCCCGGGACCGCAGACCTGGGCGGGGTCATCGACTTCTCGGCGGCCCGCGGCTCGGGGCCCGTGGCCCACAAGGTACGGAGAGGGGCGGGCGCGCCTCCCCGACGGCTTGCCTCGCTTCCTGGGGGGGGGGGGGCGGGGGCGGGTTCAGTGCCCTCCTCACCCCTTTTCGCTTCCAGACTGGAGGTGATTGAGCGACCGCCGCCCTCCGCGGGCACGGAGTTGAACTGCCCACGAAACGTCCCGCTTTGGCGATGAAGAGCTCTGCCGCTGGTTTCTCCACGTGGCCATTCGTGGCGGTGCCCTGGGTCAAAAAATGCCTGGGAATGGGTGTTTATTCCTTGCATTAGCTGTCCACTTGCCTTTCTACTTCGATTTGGGTAAAAAAAAACCGTAAACCGTGTTCGTAGACGTTCGGGTAGCGCTCAGCAGTTTTGAAAAAGCCAACCACCCGAATAATCCCCGAGCTGAGAGGGATCGCTGTTGTCCATGAAACTGGTACCGGTCTTGGCTGAGCCTCCTGGGAAGAAGGCGTTCAGAGGTTATTCAGAGGTCATCTCTCCAAGTTGAAAGGGAAGGGATAACGAGTCTAAGCATCACCCATTATTTCTACCTGTGGGCGGGGCGCAGGGCGCACGGGGAGAATCGCAGCTACAGTGTAGTGTGTATTTCCTTTGCAGTTACTTTAACCCTTGAGGATGCCCGATCCCATAATTTGCCCTTGGTGTTGTCCGCAGGTGGCTGGATGAGGCATTCTTTCCAAGCTTCGTAATAGTTCTCAGTAAGATTGGAATGCCACCGTACCACCACGTTTGTCCGGAACGCAGCTTCTTAAGCAGCTTCGCCTGTTAGCAGAAATGGTCTTAGAGTTGTCAGAACAGCATGCAGAAAGTCTGCACCCCTGCAATGATACAGTTGATTCATGGGAGAGTCCCTCAGACCCTTACTCGGCTACTTTTGCCCATAACTTGACCATCATACATACTTTTAGAATTAAGTCACCTGAGAAGGAGACATTGTGTGTAGCACGTACCTAGAACAGTACCAGTAAGTACTCAATAAATACACTATGGAGTAATAAAACCTTTGGTATTTAGTTACCCAGCTCAAAACAGATTGAAAGTAGCAACTTCTGACATTTAATATTATATGGGTTTCAGGTGTACAGCATAGTGGTTAGACATTTATATAACGCATGAAGTAATCACCTTATAAGTCTAGTACCAACCTGACACCATGCATAGTTATTACAATATTATTGACTATATTCCTGAAGCTGTATTTTACATCCTGTGACTATTTTGGAACTGCCAATTAATCCTTTCCCCTTTTTCACCCAGTCCCCCAGCACCCTCCCATCTGACAATCATCAGTGTGTTCTCTGTACCTGAGTTTGTTTCTGTTTTGTTTGTTCATTTATTTAATTTTTATATTCCACATATAAATTAAATGATAATGGTATTTGTAAAAAAAAAAAAAAAAGAAAGAAAGAAAGAAAAAAAAGTAGCAACTTAGAGAAGAAAGTTACTATTAAAAGACACCTAATGAGAGCAGTGGAGGAAGTAATGGCAACAGTTTGGCAAGGGATGGGGGCGAGGGGACAACAGAAATATTTTTAAAAGGTCAGGATTGCCCTAGCCAGTTTGGCTCAGTGGATAGAGCTTTGGCCTATGGACTGAAGGGTCCCATTCCGGTCAAGGGCACATGCCAAGGTTGCATGCTCGATCCCCAGTAGGGGGCCTGCAAAAGGCAGCCAATCAATGATTCTCATCATTGATGTTTCTCTCCTCCCTTCCCCTCTGAAATCAATAAAGACATTTAAAAAGAAAATCTCAGGGTTTGGTTCAGTTTAGCATATTATATTTTAGGTCCTTTAGGGTGTTGCTGAATTACAATACACTATTAAGTATGGTCTATTTAAGAAATCACAAAATGTTAAAAAACATTTTATCAACCTTTAGGTACCTGGAAAAGTTAGCTTGGTCAGGACTCTCAGAGAGTTCCAGATAGCCATTTTATTATGCAGACTAGTTAAACACCAGCCACTTGTTGGTATTTTGTCTGGAAATCTCCACACTTGGTGAAGTTAATAGGATGAGAGATAACATCTTTTTGGAAGAGATCATTTGATGTATTCTAAGGCAAGCCAGACCTAAGTTTATTCATGGAAGATTAAAGTTGTTTTTTTCTAAATGTCTCTATTTTAGTGACTGCATTGGATCTCTTAACCAATTTAATGAGCCATCTATAAGGTGCTCTATATGCAAGCAAAACTCCCATGAGCCCCTGAAAAACTTAATCCCTAATTAATTAACAAAGACAAAAGGTTTCAAGTTTCAATTTGAAGTTTTATCTAAAAGATGCAAATAGCCAGGCCGGTGTGGTTCAGTGGTTGAACATAAATCTATGAACCAGGAAGGGAGGGTTCGATTCCTGATCAGGGGGCATATGCCCACAATCCCGGGTAGGGGGCATGCAGCAGGCAGCTGATCAATGATTCTCTCATCATTGATGTTTCTATCTCTTTCACCCTCTCCCTCTCTGAAATCAATAAAAAATATATTTAAATAAATAAGCAAATAAAAGAGAATACATATTGTACTTTTAACAAACAGGGCTCCTAATGTTTTATTGACAGATTGTATGGTTAGAGTACTCTCTTTCCATTCTCACCCTCTCCAGCCTGGTGTTCCTCATAGCTCTGTTTAAACACCAGCTGTAGCCCTAGCTGGTTTGGCTCAGTGGACAGAGCGTCGGCCTGAGGACTGAAGGGTCTCGAGTTCGATTCCGGTCAAGGGCATGTGCCTGGGTTGTGGGCTCGAACCCCAGTAGGGGATGTGCAGGAGGCAGCCAATCAATGATTCTCTCTCATCGATATCTCTATCTCTCTTCCCTTCCTCTCTGAAATCAATTTATATTAAAATTAAAATAAACACCAACTGTATACAAATACCTCAGAAGCATTATTAGCCCTAACGGAAGTAAACAGCATTGTGACTCGGTATTCCAGCACACCAAACACTAGAGTCCTAAGAGCAGGGGTCCTCAAACTCTTTAAACAGGGGGCCAGTTCACTGTCCCTCAGACCGTTGGAGGGCCGGACTATAGTTTAAAAAAAAAAACTATGAACAAATTCCTATGCACACTGCACATATCTTATTTTGAAGTAAAAAAACAAAACGGGAACAAAAACAATACTTGTATTTGCATGTGGCCCGCGGGCCGTAGTTTGAGGACCCCTGCCTAAAAGAAATCACAAAGGTATGGTATCATAAGAAAAGGTAATCTTTAAGGCAAAAATCAGCTTGCTTCTTATTACTACTTATCTTAATTCTGTATAGCTCTCTAATGTTTGTTAGTATATGGGTGAGGAAACTGAGGCTCTAAGAAGTGACTTATCGAAGTCTTATATCAAGTAAGTGATGGGACTAAGTTTAGGATCCCGGACTTAAGACTCCTAACTTTGCCCCATACCAGAAATATCTTTAGAGCTTTGAAGTTCTCAGATTTGATCTGTAAAATAACTTTAGCCCTCTAACTTGTTTCCTTCCTGCCAGGTGGTCAGATCTCAGCTGAGTGTGTCCTCAGTCAGTGACCACGATGCACACAGAGCAGGACTTCAGCCGGTCAGCAGTTGGCGAGCTTATGGACTGGAAGGCTATCCTGGTGAGTGCAGCTGACCTACAAGGTGAATTCAATCATTTATCTAATTTTAGAAGAGGAGCTAGTAAATACACAAAAGAAGAACAGCAAACACACCGAAACATTCCACTGTCCAACCCCTCCTAAATTCTGCCTCATCTAAGATTTCCATTTATGTAGCACTCCTAAAGGACAGAACAGGAGTCACTAGTGCTGCTTATATTGCACACCAGGTACAAATGAAAAATAGGACATTAACTCTGGGCTTCCTGCCACAACTCTCTGAACACCCACCTACTCTGGCAGAAAAACCACTTTGAGTGATAGAATAATTAATAATGGTCACTCCAGACTGGCTGGCATTGCTCTGTGGTTGAGTGTCAACCTATGAACCAGGAGGTCATGGTTCGATTCCCAGTCAGGCTACATGCCGATGTTGCAGACTGGATCCCCAGTGTGGGGTGTGCAGAAGGCAGCTAATCAATGATTCTCTCTCATCATTGATGTTTCTATCTCTCTTCCTCTCTGAAATCACTAAAAATATTTTTTAAAAAATAAAAATGTTCACTCCAGTCACAAAATCCCTGTATTCTCAAATGGCATAACAACAACTTAAAAATTATTGGTATCATCAAGGCTGAACATTTGAAAAAAGAATTACAGTAATGAGATCAAAAGTCCTAAAATTTTAGTGATATTGGGTAGCTCACTTTGCAGATAAAGTAATGAGATTAATTATTATGAACTATTAAGAAGATATGGAAATGCTTTATTTGGCCAAGTAATCTTATATCTGTCATCTTGTTTCTTTCTAGAGGACATAAAGTTAACATTGCATTTGTGATTTCAAGTATGGATTAAAAGCAAGTGATACCCCTAAAAAGAAATATTGATTTTTGTGCTAAGGGCCAGGTCTATATTATAGCTCTTAATATAGTATGACCACTAAAGTATTTTTTAATAACATGGGAAGGTGTAACATCTTTTTAAAAAATTGTTTGGGTGGGGGTTTTTTATGTCTTGATTTTGAGAGAGAGAGAGAGAGAGGGAGAGAGAGAGACATCTATGTGAAAGAGGAACATCGATCGGTTGCCTCCCTCACATGCCCCATCCAGGAGCCGAACCCACAACCTAGGTATGTGCCCTGACCGGGAATTAAACCTACCACATTTCAGTGTACAGGTCAGTGCTCTAACCAACTGAACCACACTGTCCAGGGCTGGAAAGTGTAACAGCTTTAATACATCCTATATAAGGCCTCATGAACTTTAGTTCTGTATTAAAGAACTAAAGATGATCTTATGACTGAAGTCACAGAGGAAACAATCATTTGGCCTTTACATATGAAAGCATTGCTCCCCATGAGTTTAGGTAAATGAGCATGCATCACCATCAGTCTTTTAATCACTTTGTTCTTGAAGGTTGCCCTTTACCTTTCAGACCTAGCTCCTGTTTTCAAGGCCATGTTTCTGTAATTGTGCCTTCTTCCCTTAACCAGTTGTTCAGGCTACAAGATTGTTAACCCTTCTTTGGTTTTCTTTTCTCCAAATTGGTGTCCTTGCTTTTCTAGGATTTTACACTTAAGCGACATCATTTAAGTTGGTACCTAAATGTGTCCCTAGAGTCTTTATTCTGATTTCCTAGCCATTATAAGCTGCATTTAATAGAATTATAATAATGTCCAAAACATGGGGGATGACAGTTTCTTCTTACTCTGACTTGATTAGAAGGATTGTGTTTACTTGTGGATTCTATTAATTCTGAAGGAGCCTGGGCACACCACATCTTGTCCTTATGAGAGTAAGCAGGAAGATCATGGTTCTGAAGACTAGAAACTGAATCTGGGGAAGAGTAGACTTGAGGGGGAACATGACAGTGTCAAACATTTGAAAAGTTGTGCACAAGAAGGGATGGGAAGTAGTGCATACTAGTGGTTAAGGCCTAGGTTCTGACACCATACTACCTGGGTTCATGTCCTGGCTCTACTATCTACTATTATATGACCTTGGGCAAGTTTCTTAAGTAGTACCCACAAGAGTATCCTAGTAAAGTGCTTAGGTCAATGCCTGGCACATAGTAAATAGTCATTAAATGTTAGCTGTAAAGCTTGAAGTATTAATCAAGAAGAAGTAAAAGCTAATGTGGGTTTGCTCTGTGTGTCAGAACCTAAGGCCAATTCATGAACATTTGAAAGAGGCAAATTTTAACTCAGTGAAAGGATGACAATAGTTGTCTAAAATAGACTGCCTGAAAAGGTATTAAATTTCCTATCACTATTCAGGCTTGGACTAGGTCAGGGTATTCTTCCTTTAATCTCATATTTGGGGGCGGGGGTGTGCTGTAATTTTTCTTTTTACATGGTGATAGCATGGTAGATTATTGGGGGGTTTCATATCTTTTTTCTTTCAAAATAAAGACAGTCTTATCACTCTCCTAAATTATTTGGATAATTTTACTGGTACATGAAATGCAAAAGTGACCTCCACATTTACAAGCAAGTATTCTCATTTCTGTCCTCCAACTTTAGAGAAAGAAGAGTTCTGTCAACTCAGCCAGTCCCTTCACCTCTGACCCCACTTTCTTTCACCTCCTCTGGCTTTCAAGACCTTGCTCTGTTCCTTTCCACACTTTCACTTTTAGCCAGTTCTCTTCAACTGGCTCTTTCCTCACAATCTATAAGCATGCTTCAGTCTTTTTAAACCCTAAAGTCCATAAACTCTCCCCTTATTTCTTTATTCTTTGACTACTCCTCAGCCTTTGTTTCTTTTCTCAACCAGGCTTTTAAAAGATATTATCTCGTCAGAGGGGAGGGGGGTTGAGGGGCTCAGTGAAAAGGGTGAAGGGATTAAGCAAAACAAAACAAAAATATTCATAGACACAGACAACAGTTTGGTGATTACCAGAGGGAAAGGGGGGTTGGGGAGAGGTAAAAGAGGGGAAATCGGGGAAAGATGGTAATGGAAGGAGACTTGACTTGGGGTAGTGAACACAATACAATATACAGTGGGGCCTTGACTTACGAGTTTAATTCGTTCCGAGACCAAGCTCGTTAAGGAGTTCCTTAACTCAAATTACTCTGTCAATGCAATGCAAAAAAATTGGCCAAGAGACAGCTGGTATCTCAAAAAACTTGTTAGTCGGGACACTTGTAAGTCAAGGCCCCACTGTACAAATGATGTATTGCAGAATTGTATACCTGAACTCTATATAATTTTATTAACCAATGTCACTCCAATAAATTCAATTAAAATTAAAAAATATATGACATTATCTGTATTACTGTCTATTGTCCTATCTCCAGGTATTTCACGAAGGATAAAATTTTTCATCTCTTTATCTCTGGTTCTTAAGAAAGTGCACAGTGTGTGTCTGTTGAATGCTTGATGGATTAATCCTTGCCATGCATAGGATTCTAGTTAAATGTTATTATTGCTCTTTTACAAAGGAGAAAAGTGAGGTGAAATTACTTTCAAAGTTATAAGGATCTTCTCAGCATACATGCTGTAGGTATTTGCATCATGCCATACTGAGCAGATGTACATACCATATTCCTTCTCTGCTATATTAGTCAGGAGGCAGAAATCACAGCAATTATTTTAACCGTGATAATTTATAGACTCATTAGCCAGAAAATAGAAAATGGAAAGGGCAAAAAGGGCACACTGAAATATTAAAGGTATTAACTGCAGAAGCAGCCACCACCTCTGTACATGGTGACACTGGGTGAAAATTTGAAGGGTGACTTTGGCGATTTCAGTTCTAAAGTTTGCTTTGGGATAACACAAATGATAATTGTGGAATGTTTGTTTCTCTTGAGAGTAACCCAAAAAGCCAAGGTATTTGCATAATAGTAGATGGCTAGTGATCATCAAACTTACTTTTTACTAACTTGAAGGAATTCCTCTTCTTCTAAAATTGGAGAATAGGAATGAGAACATTTGCTTGTAAGAATGGAAGCCACTAGAAGCATGAGCAAAAGAAGATGGAAAGTAAATATAAAGTAGAGGGTATAAGGAAGTCAACAGAAGTAAACTATCTGAGTAACTGATGGAGAATTTCCTCCTCTCCTTTCTTTCCCACCCATCTTTTATATAGGTTTTATTTTCATCCCAAACCCCTTCCTCCCAGGTTACCAGTGGCACTGGGTGAAGCAGTGCCTTAAGTTATATTCCCAGAAACCTAATGTATGTAACCTGGACAAACACATGACTAAAGAAGATACCCAAGATCTATGGGAACAGAGCAAAGAGTTTCTAAGGTAGGTTTTATCAGTCACAATGAAATGTTAGCATTCAGCTCAAGTCATCACAGATCTTTAAAGGAACTATTTTATAACAATGCAATGAAAGTAACTGGCCTGTTTATTTTTCCCTCATTTCCACGCAAATGCAGCAAAATTATATTCTTCCCTCTGGAACATTTGGGCAGATGCTTTGACAATTATATTAAACTAGCGGCCTGGTGCACGATATTCGTGCACTTGGGGGTGGGTGTCCCTCAGCCTGGCCTGCTCCCTCTCTCAGTCCTGGATGCCTTGGGGGATGTCGCCTGCCGGCTTAGGCCCGATCCCCTCAGCTGGATTCCCCCATCCCTCTCGCAGTCTGGGACCCCTTGCTCCTTACTGCCTGCCTGCAGCGGAAGTAGGAGAGGCTGAGCCCGGCTTCTGGCTGAGCAGCGCTCCCCCTTGTGGGAGCCTACTGACCACCAGGGGGCAGCTCCTGTGTTGAGCATCTGCTCCCTGGGGTCAGTGTGTGTCATAGCAACCAGTTGTTTTGCTGTTTGGTCATTTACATATTAGGCTTTTATATAGGATTGAAGTCCATTTCAAAGATTTGCTAATCATAGCTTAGATATCAAGTTCATCCTCAGTGATCATCAGATAATCCATTTTCATTCACCTTCAGCCCTTTTTTCTACTTAAAATGAGTTCCTGTGAAGACTGGTATCCTGGCAAAAAGTAACATTGAAAGCTCTTTACTTCTGCTCTTCTAGACAAAATCAATTCTAGCAGCTGTTTTATGGTAGGTCAGTTGTTCTTCATGAGAACTAATGTTTACCTTAATGTTGTTTCAACATTCCTTCATTCCACAAATATTTCTTACGGGCCAGTCATGTACCAGGCATATTGCTGAGCATTGGCAATACAAAGATATGTAGGCCACTGTCCCTGTATTCTGGAATGCATCATCTGTGGCAGGAACTCAATATGACCAGGAATAATTATAATAGAGCTCAGCAAGAAAAATGCTGTGGGGCCAGAAGAAGAAATAATTCTTTCAGGCAGGAAGGAGGTGTCAGAGAATTAAAAAGTGATATTTTTAGTTCATTGTCTTCCTTTTCCCCTCTGTCTATTTGAACTGGGTCTTCAAAAATGACTAGGAGTTTGGCCAGTCAGAAAAGCAAAACCACTGTTTTGGGTACAGAAAGTAGCCTTCAAAAAGAAGTAATATGTAAAAAATTAAGTTCTGTGAGATAGGAGCACAGGATGTGTGCATTTATTCAACAATTACTGAGTTTCTGCTATGTGTCAGATAACTGTGTTTAAGTGTTAGAGATTCAAAGACACTTCCTGCCTTTCAGGAATTTGTAGGTTAGTTAAGGACAGAGACATCTATATATATAAAACCCAAGCAACTAGAACAACCAGTCACTATGACATGCACTGTGGCCAGCCAACCTCCCGCAGCCCCTCCCCCTGGCCTGCCCAGCCCAATCAGCCCCAATTGGGGCAGGCTGGCCGGACCCCACCTGTGCACGAATTCATGCATCAGGCCTCCAGTAACCATATAATGTAATTTGGCAGGTACAGGAATCCTATATAACAAAAAGCTAATATGGAAATTAACCAAACAGCGGAATGACCAGCTACTATGACGCGCACTGACCACCAGGGGGCAGATGCTCAATGCAGGAGCGTCCCCTGGGCGTAAGCCGGCAGGCAGACATCCCTCTCTCAGTCCGGGGCTCTCGTCGTCTGGGCCCCCTTGCTTCTTACCACCCGCCTGCAGCGGAGGCAGGAGAGGTACCCACCACTGCCGCTGCACTCACCAGCCGTGAGCCCAGCTTCTGTCTGAGCGGCACTCCCCTTATGGGAGCACACTGACCGCCAGGGACAGCTCCTGCGTTGAGCGTCTGCCCCCTGGTGGTCAGTGTGTGTCATAGCCACTGGTCATTCTGCCATTTGGTCGATTTGTACATTAGGCTTTTATTATATAGGATTATGGGAATGGTCAGGAAGCTAGATTGAGGTAGATTATGGAAAATGCTTCCTGGAAGTCATGAATAGAATTGTCAAGAGGAGAAGCAGAAAGAGAATGTTAAGACCAGATTATAGTAGGTCCTTGGGTTACATCGGAGATCCATTCCTACGGCGCAATGTAATTTTTGCCGTAAGTTGGAACCCACCTACATAAGCACCTACGTCACTCACATGGAGCACATACACAGCAGTAATGAAGTGAAACAGTAAAAAAAATTTAAAAGAAAGATAATTCCTGACCTTTACTTGTAAATAAATAAAAAACAAAGCACATATGTACATACGTCGAAATGATGGAACTTTTTTAATACATATATAAATAAATGGGAGATGGGGATGTATCCACAAAATGACATATGTCGAGTCTGACATAACCCGAGAACTGTCTGTATAAAGGGTTTAGTGCTATGTAAAGCACTGGTTCTAGAATCAGATTGCCTAGGTTCAAATCCTGGTTCTGCCATTTAAAAGCTGTAAACTTGAGCAAATTTTTTTTTTTATTTGTTTTGTTTTAATAATTCTTTATTGTTGAAAGTATTACATTTGTCCTCCTTTTCCCCCCATTGATCTCCTCCAGCCCATCCCCGGCCCCCTGCCCAGGCCTTCAGCATCTTATTGTCTGTGTACATGGATTATGCATATATGCATACAAGGTCTTTGGTTGAACAAAACATAGAATTGAGGTGCCCTAATTTTGTGAACAGACCTATTTTTGCTTCTAAGTTCAAGTATTTCTTACTCATTTTCTACTTAAAAGTTTCGTTTTCCCTGACCATAGAAATGTAGAAAGTTTCTATGGTCTTTTTATGGTCCTCCCCATCCTTCTTTCCCTGCCTTCCCTCTGAGACTCCTCACTCTGTTCCATTGAGCAAGTTTCTTAACTTTTCTTTTCTTTTTTTTAAAATATATTTTATTGATTTTTTACAGAGATGAAGGGAGAGGGATAGAGTTAGAAACATCAGTGAGAGAGAAACATGGATCAGCTGCCTCTTGCACACCCCCTACTGAGGATGTGCCCACAACCAAGGTACATGCCCCTGACCGGAATCAAACCTGGGACCCTTCAGTCCTCAGGCCAATGCTCTATCCACTGAGCCAAACCAGTTAGGGCAAGTTTCTTAACTTTTCTGTGCCTTATAGTAATCCTTTCCTCATTTGATAATGTGAGGATTAAATAAGGTAGTATGTGAGAAGTCCTAGAACAGCCTCTTAAGACTCTATACCAGTTTTGTGTGTTCTATTTGTAGTTTAATGGTTCTAATGGTGCGGTTTGAGTGAAATTAGCCATTTGCTGTCGTTTGTCTACTCTCAGCCACCAAAGCTTTTTTACCGTTCCGGTCGTATGTCTGCTCTCCGCCACCACAGCAAGGAACCGTACGAATCTTAACTCTATTCATTCATGTATCAGTTCATAATTTCTCTGAAAGCTCATAAGTGTCTTAGCGACCTTGTCACGAACCAAAACATTGCCCTGACAAATCGGAGATATCGAAACTCAATATAAACAAACGCGGTCGTTCCACACTCGCCATGCAAAACACCGTGGCGAGTCAGTCGCCTTTTGAGAGTGAAGAAATCGACAAGCTTCAGAGATACTTCGCAGAATTTCAAATAAAGCTTTACAGATTACGTCTAACTGTAATTAGGCATTCTCGCTTGTTATTTCAAAATAATACTCCAAAATGGCAAAAAGAAAGTTACCGAAAGAAGTGTACTGCGAATCTGAAAGTAACAATGAATTAATAAATCTTGTTTATCCTTCATAATCTTGCATGTTATGTGTCACTGCTCTTTCAATGGAAATTAATTCCGACCAGTACGACACCCATGTCCAAATTTAATACGACCGCAAAGGGTTAGTTAAAGAGAGCTTAGAGTTTGTTATTAAACCAGCCTGTGTTTTCAAATAATTGGGTTTTTTTCCTTGTGACAACAAATTCCAGTTGTCATCTTCTAAGATAGGTCAGACGAATCTCTTTAATAAATCATTCTGTAAACAATAGTGAGATAGTTCTTTTGTCTAATAAATTACAAGAAATAAAAAATGTTAAAGTCATACCTTCTATTGTGAAGGGTGGAAGAAATTGATATGCTCAGACATTGCTGACAGCATTAAAAATAGATTAGGGACTGAGTTCTTCTGTCACTCCCTGATAATGTGTTTGTTTCCTCATCTGGGAAACAAAAGGATTGTACTGGATAAGCCATTTGAGGTGGTAGAATCATGGTCAGTTAGGGTATATGCCAGCTGGACAGTAATGCCAGCTTTTCCCATGTTCCCAGAGCACATCAGAAAGAGAGGGGGTCTGTCGTTTAAAATTATTCCCTTGTAGATTCTGATTATTTACCATGTCATCCACATGGAGAACCATTGAACTAGGGCACCTCTGAGGATCTTTTCAACTTTTAATTTCAACTTTCTACGTTTCTATGGTCAGGGAAAACAAAACTTTTAAGTAGAAAATGAGTAAGAAATACTTGAACTTAGAAGCAAAAATAGACTGTTCACAAAATTAGGGCACCTCAATTCTGTTTTGTTCAAAATTTATTGTCAGGGAATACTGTAGCTAGAGATTCTTTTTTTTTTTTTTTTTTTAATATATTTTATTGATTTTCTTTACAGAGAGGAAGGGAGAGGGAGAGTTAGAAACATCAGTTGAAAAAGAAACATTGATCAGCTGCCTCCTGCACACTCCCTACTGGGGATGTGCCCGCAACCAAGGTACATGCCCTTGGCCGGAATCGAACCTGGGATCCTTGAGTCCACAGGCCGACGCTCTATCCACTGAGGCAAACCGGTTAGGGCTAGCTAGAGATTCTTAACTAAGAGTATAATAGTTAGGTGTAAACATCTTCATTGCCACATTGTCTATAAGAGGGAGGAAATGAAAAACAACCTAAGTGTCAGCAGGGGGTCAGATAAATCAGGTATGATATACCCTAGCAGCAGAATGCAGCCACTACAAAATCTTACTTCCAGCCCTCTAGCAAATCTGGTAGGGTCTGCAGTTACAGTGAATAAAATCATTTCTAAGCATCTCCATCACTACCACCTTAATCTAAGCCACCACCATTTCCCGGTGTCTGTTCCTGTGCCTCTTCAATCTGTTTTCACAGTGTGGAAATCATGTCACTTCTCACAGCTTCACATCAGCAGTACCACAATTCGTTTCTGATGCAAACCATCAGAGTTAAGCCAGGACATCGCAAATTATGGGTGTGGTCTCCAACCAAACTGCTCTCACCAGCCACAAGTTTGGGAGATCCCCAAGTTACCCACACTTCTGACCAACTGGTTACAGATTTAGGGGAGTTCCCATGACTCAGTTCAGTAGCTCTCTTGAACCATTCATGTACCTATGATTACAGTTTTATTATAAAGGTTACAAATCAGGACCACCCAATGAAGGGACACACAGGGCAATGTCTGGAAGGGTCCTGAATGCAGAGCCTCCATATCCTCTTCCCATGGACTCAGGATGGGTCACCCAGGAAACTCTCCCAGGCCTTAGTGTTCAGAGTTTTTATTGGGTTTTTACTGCTTAAGCGTGATTGGTTGAATCATTAGTCACATAGTTGAACTCAATTTCTGGCTCCCACCTATCCCCTGAGGTCTGGCTAATTAATTTCACTACTCAAAAGACTCAATCCTCTAATCAGATGGTTGGTTTTTCTAGCAGAACAAGCCTACATCATGAGTCATTTTAGCATAAACTCAGGTGTGGTCCTGGGACCCAAGTGAATAACAGAGACATCCTGTCTCCCTAGGGTTTAAAAACCTCCCACATATCAAGGACAAAGGCCAGTCAAATTCTTTGTTATACATGTTAGGTGGCTCAGGAGGCGGAGGAAATAAAGAGAGCCAAGTTAAAGAAAGAAAAGGAAAGGTTTATTCTGCGTCCCGGGCAACCCACAGACCCCAAAGACAGGGCCAGTGGATTCTCGCCCACAGGGAGGGGGGGCTTTGTTTTATACTGCAGTTGAGTGAGGGGCGGGGACATGAACTGAGGAAGTCCCTGCCACAGGGGGTCAGCAGGGTATTCTGGAAGGAGCCAGTATGTGTGGGGGGGTCGTGTGGATTCCAGGGAGAAGCTGCTATCTGTGTCTGGCACGTTGATCTGTTAGAAATTCCAGGAGGGTGGGGTCTATTATCTCATCACACGTATGCATGTATCTGATCCTGGGCTCTCTCCGACCTAACATCACAATCTCCAAATACTTAGAAAAAAGAAAAAAATTAGAAGTCATTACCATAGCCTACAAAACCCAGATGATTTGGCCCCCAGCCATCTCTCCAATCTCATCTCCTACCATTCCTTCTTTCTTAACTCTCTAGACATACTGGCCTCCATTCCATTCCTTAAACACAGCACGGTCTTCTGCCTAGAAAGCTTTTTCTTTAGATAACCAATGGCTTGCTTCCTTCAGGTCTTTGTTATAATATCACCTTATGAGAAATGATTTCCTTACCATTCTGTTAACAATAGTCCTCTTTTCCCTCCTCCTTTATCCCCTTGCCCTATGGCTTTATTCTTCAGTGCATGGTAGTTAACAAATATTTATGGAATTAATTAGTTAATGGATACCTTTTTATACCTTTTGGATTTTGTGAATATATTATCTAATAAAAAATAACTTTAAAGAATAAGTCAAGAAGAAATATAAACTTAAATAAAGCAACTTTGTTCCATAAGCTTATAAAATGCCTTGTATCCATTTTTTTATGTGTGAAAGCTTTTTTAATTGATATTCTCAATGTGGAAACAGAACTAATCCTTTCCCTTTTCTACTCCTTCAAGACTTTGTTATGGAGCTATTATAGCATTTGTTATAGTGAGTCCAGTCATGGCTCAAGGAAGCAAGAGCTCTGGATGAAAAAAATAAATATAAAAAATAAAACCCAAAAAATGTGCTGTTAGAAGCCAAGATAGGAATATGTTTCCAGACTAAGAGAAGAGCCAACCATCTCTATAGGCCTAGAATTTGACAATTACCACTTAATTTAAACTAAGAAACTAGTTTGGGTAGAGAGGTGTTAGCAAAAGTCAGATTGCAGGAAATGGGGGAGAGTGAGGGTGGCAAAAACTGAGCACATTTAGAAAAGTTTGATTGTAAAGGGAAAGAGATACGAGGCAGAGGAAAGCAGGGCATAGACAGACTTGAGTTTTTATTGGGGTTTTATTGCTTAGGTATGGAGAGGTCAAGTTGGAAAGCTGGCCTTTGTGGAAAGAAGTGGGACCACTCCACTGCTTCCCCAGGAGGGAAGGATGGAGTAAAGATTTTGAAAAGTTTAGAAGTGTAGGGGAGGAAAATTGAAATTGTTCACTGGATCATTTTGTTACCAGAAAAAATGCCTCGTCTCCTCTTGGTGTTCATGGGAGTGGGATTCTTGGGGTACCGCTGGAATAAGCATTTCCGGAGGGCCCTACAGAGGATGAGATATTTATTTTTGTGGAATTACACCCCTGAATTTCCAAAGTCCCATTACCCTTAGTCCAGTCATGGAAGAAGTATAGGTGGGATTTCACTAGAGCTGAAATCAGAGCCAGTGTCCAGTTTCCTTTCCAAGTTGGAGCCGGGTCCAGTTCAGCATCAGGTTAGTTGCAGTCCATTAGTCTATTGCGTGTGAGGGTCCGCATGGCCGTGGGCCACACAGGAAAGCCAAGCATGAGCCATGAGCCAAGTGTGCCAAGAGGAAGCAAGAGTGAACTTCTTCCTTCACTCCTATCCCAAATTTCAGTGTGCTTGCAATGGCCATGCCCATTCTGGCTAATCATCTCTGTCCCCAGGTGTGGCAGGCAAGTACCTTCCCTATGTCATCCCAACTTTACTGGACATACATCTATTTTCCCTTCATTGGATCCCTCCCCTGGTGTTTTGCAGGGGACGTGCCTATATGTCTGCCCTTCCCTTCGCTCCTTTCTTATTACTAATAACTAGCTAATTACAACAGTATCAATTTCATCAGACTGCTGTTCTCAGTGTCCTAGAAGGGAATAAGGACTGAGAACTTGAGATGAATGGTGAAGGTTCAAAGCAAAAGGCAAAAGATTAGATAAGACCAAATATTTGCAAAATAGCAGAAGGATGTTAGCAATTAAGATAAAATTTGATGTTCATTTGCAGTGATTGACGACCAGGAGATTCAGGTTGAGAAAGGAGACAAACTGAAAGCACTCAAATACAGGGGGAAAAAAATGGAATTCTGGGGACAAGAGATGGAACTTTGGGACAGAAAGCGGTGGTTATGGAGGGAAATATTCACAGTTGTGAAAGATACAATTCCCAAGCCTGTAAAAATAAAAAAATAAAAATACCTGCCATAGGATTTTAAAGGGTTTTTTGTTTGTTTTGTGTGTGTGTGTGTGTGTTTAATAAACGGCTTTAGACTTTTTATGTCCTGAGTACTTTTGTTTTCACAATGATTCACTAATGTCCCTTGAGGCAAGAAAAAAAATACCAGTGCTTAATTTTGACACCCAAACTAGCCACTGCACAGAGAGTAGACAAGCAGGACAGGAGTTTATTTCTACAGTTAGGGTTTGGCTGAAGCAGTGCTGTGCAACATGATTGCTGAGAGAAATGCCAACACTTACCTAAAGCATTTACCCATGACAGAAATTGAGCAAACTGCTGTGTGGGCACATTCACCAGGGAAGAAGGTGACCAGTCCACCCATCCATCATCCTGCTAGTAGCTGGAGGAGCAGCAGGGGCAGGGAGCATAGCATTTCTGTTGGCAGTAAGAACCAATAATTAGTGTCACGCTTGCTTGAAAACATTCTTTTAGATGATTGAATAAAGATTTAAAGTTAGGTTAGATGCCAAAATATTCCCTGCATTCCTATGGGTGGATATGGCAACTCTGTCGACACTGAGCCTTCTTGGTCACCTTGTGTTTATGTTTTTATTGATTTCAGGGAGATGAAGGGAGAGGGAACAATAGAAACATCAGTGATGAGAGAGAATGAGCTGCCTCCTGCACACCCCCTATTGGGGATGGAGCCCTCAACCTGGGCATGTGCCCTGATTGGGAATCGAACTGTAACTTCCTGGTTCATGGGTCAATGCTCAACAATTGAGCCACACTGGCCAGGTGTTTTTTAATATTATATTCTTGGTCAACTCACTTTTCTGTTCTAATTTCCCCTATCAAGACCTTGGCTAACAGCTTATTCCATAGAATACAAAAATTTGGATTCTAGGGTCCATACAAACAGTTGTTGCTGCCATTTACGATGTATATATCTTAATAAATCCTCTAATTTTTGCAGATATAAAGAAGTGAATAAACGGAGACCCCGAAGCTTACTTGAGAAACTGCGGTGGGTGACCCTAGGCTACCATTATAACTGGGACAGTAAGGTATTCAAATTTTCTTGCTAATTCCATTATTTTCCATTTTTATGCTTCTTGGGCACACATAGTGGGATTTCTTCCTAGCCAAGCTTACAATATCATATCTATTTTAGGAAGCATCTCTCTTATTTATTCCCTTCTAAAATCCCCTTGATACAGAATCTCAAGAGACATGGATAATTTACCAAGAGAAAATTTCTTTTTCATATGCCCTCACATTATGTTATTTTATCAAAGACTATCCGTGTTTTCTCTAAGTAGGTTTCAGGAATATCGATTTTTTTTTTTTTTATACTATACTCAAGAGCAGTTGTCAATTATGATCTTTGTTTCCATTGTTTATTGTTGAGCATTTATTTTCTATGTAATATCTTCCTGGAATAAAAGTGGATCCCTATACTTCTGGTGTTCTCATCAATTCACAAAAGGACTTTCAGAATCTAAATACCACTGCCTGCTACATAGGTCTGAGCAGGAGAGAGATGGGAAAGAATGTCCTAAAATTAACAAAATCTCATGGTTGTGTGTTTTTGCTTTGCTTTGCTTTGTTTTGTTTTGTTTGAGGTAGTTTTTTTCCTGACCTCTGCTTCACAGAATGCCTCCTTTATCAGTGGCAGCACAGTGCCTCTTGTCTCAATGAGATATTTGCCACCAAGTAAAAAGACTAATTCTGAGAGTAAACTGAATAAAACAGAATGGAATAGACCACCTTGCTTCTAACCAGTTACTTTCTAAAAGCTCTATAGTTTCAGTCAACCCAGCTTATTAACAAGTATATTAACTGATCAAAATAATGATGTGTTGCCCAAAAATGTTCATTATAAAACTCTTATGTTTTAGTGATGCCAAGTAATGGAAAACTAGATTAACTGTATTTGGGGAAATGGCCATATGATTTTCTTCAGGTTAGACAACCTGGGTTTGAATTATGCCTTCAACAAGGATAGTACCTACCTTGATGGTAGTTGTGATAATTAAATGATTAATGCCTGTGTAGTGATTACAACAGTGCCTGGCTGTTCTAAGCAGTTAAATGCATTAACAATAAATGTTAGCTGATTGCTTTTTATATTATTTTTATTGTTGACATTGTTATTCTCCAAGAACCTCAAAATGGGCCTCATTTACTAAGAAAAACATGGAGTGAAAATTATCAAAAATTGAGTAATCAGAGAAGAAAGAATAGTGCATAGACAGCTTGGAGAGGGTTCACGCTCAAAAGAAGTAATTATTTCATTATAGCATAGGTGATGTAGTGCTAGAATAGCATGATTTATTCATCCATATTTTGAGGCATCCGGTAATCTAATAATGAGCCATTCAAAATATGGATGACTGAATCATGCCATGCTAATATTACATGTAGGCGGGATGATTTTTAAGTGGTAATTAATCTTATAGCACAGTTTTTTACTTTCCTGAGATCATTGTTTATTTTTCTTATTTTCCCTACTTTTATTAAAGAAATACTCAGCAGATCATTATACACCTTTCCCTTCTGACCTGGCTTTCCTCTCAGAGCAAGTAGCTGCTGCCTGTGGATTTCAGGGTTTCCAAGCAGAAGCAGGTATCCTGAATTACTACCGATTAGATTCTACACTGGGAATTCACGTGGACAAATCTGAACTAGATCACTCCAAACCCCTGCTGTCATTCAGGTAAGTTAGTTCTGGGGATTTGGTATTATGTTTTATAACCTCATTCCATTTTTTAAAGCATTTTTGAACTAAAATAAAATAAAAACATTAAACTTAAAAAAAATGGCTGGACTCTATAATCTTTCACTTCTGGGTATTTTAACAATGCGTCATAAGTAAAATTAGGCTAATCCTCTAAGAATCATGGCCAAATTACAGTTAATATTTCTGTTTAAGATGCATGGAGTCTGCCTTTTGTAATGAGAGGTATCGTAAGTGTCAGTGGAATAGGCAGAGGGAAGGCCATACATCTGTTTTGGAATAGAGAAAAGCAAAGCACAAAAGCCTGAACAGCTTACTCCTCTTGTCTCCCTAAGCGTAACTTTACAGTTGTGCAAAGTACTGCCTCTGGTTCCAACTGAGAACGTGCCTGAACAGAATTTTTTATTATTACCTTATCTTCAAAGTGAACAGGAGTGATAAATACAGTAAAGAACTTAAACACAATAGTCCCCTCTTATCCACAGGGGATACATCCTAAGACCCCCCCAGGGGATACCTGAAACTACAGATAATACCAAACGGTACATATGCTTTTTTTCTCTATACATACATACCTATGATAAAGTTTAATTTATAAATTAGACACAGTAAGAGATTAACAATAACTAATAAAGTAGAATAATTATAACAATACGTTGTAATAAAAGTTATGTGAATGTGGTCACTAGTTTCATGGGAGCCTTGCTGAAGTCTTTGTATAGGCTCAGTGCTTTTGGGTGCAGCACGCTGCTGTTGGTCAGAACACATTTTCTGTTCATGACTTCCACCCACAAATCTGATGTCTTTTTCATCTTAACTACACACTTATCAGGCACTGTGGCCGTAACTTTTGCAGTTGGAGGTGCAACAACAGAACTAGCACAAAAGTCTTTTTCGTTCTTCACTAGTTCACAGATAGATTCATTCTGACTGCATATCTTAGCAACAATTCTTTTTCTTTCCTTAAGTCAAGACTTTCACCTTTTCACTTAAAGGAACCACTATATGGCTTCTCTTGGTGTATCTGATTTGCCACCATCGCTTTGTTCTTTGGAGCCATTAGTAAGTAAAATAAGGCAGAATGGCATGCAATTTGAAACTTATGAATTGTTTATTGAAGTTTATTTCTGGAATTGTTTATTTCTATTTAATATTTTCGGACCACGGTCAGCCACAGGTAACAAACTGCAGGAAGTGAAACTGGATAAAGGGTGACTACTTTAATTTTATTGAAAGACTTGAATCTTACAGAATCATCAATAAAACTTATATGGGTAATATTAAAACTGAATTCTTCCCAACCGGAGCATTGTCCTGTACACCAAAAGGTGGTGGGTTCAATTCCCAGTCAGGGCACATACGCAGATTGTGGATTTGATCCCCGGTGGGGAGTGTACTGGAGGCAACTCATCAATGCTTTGTTGTTGTTTTTTTCTCTCTATCTGCCTGCCTGTCTCACTTTGTCTCTCTTTCTCTAAAATCAGTTTTAAAAATAAAACAAAAAAAATAAATTCTTCCCAGACTGGCGGGGCTCAGTTTGTTGACGTGTCCTCCACTACACTAAAAGGTCTCAGTTTCGATTCCCGGCCCAGGTACATACCTAGATTGCAGGGTTTTTCCCTAGTTGGGGGGGCGTTTGATATTTCTCTCTCTCTCTCTTTCTCCCCTCCCTGTCTCTCTAAAACTCAATGAATCTCCTCAGGTAAGGATTTTTTTTAAAAAAAGCTTATTTTGCTTATTTAACTGCTTCATATTTTATTTCACCATAATCCTGTGGGCTATAAGTCTAAGTAGCAGATCATGGATTGGTCATTTATAGACACAAGCCAAAAGGAAAGGATCATAGAACAGTTTAAAAAGGAAGATTTTACCCAAAAAAAGGGAAGATTTACAATTAATAAGTATCAAGTTGAAATTAGAAAATAATGCAATTAGCAATAACTTTCCCTACATGGTTAGTAACAGAAACTTACTGTCTTATATTGTTTTACTTATTTTTTTTTTTTTTTTTGTAGCTTTGGGCAGTCTGCCATCTTTCTCCTGGGTGGCCTCAAAAGAGATGAAGCCCCCACAGCCATGTTTATGCACAGCGGTGACATCATGGTAATGTCAGGTTTCAGCCGCCTGTTGAACCATGCAGTTCCAAAGGTCCTTCCAAGTTCACAGGGGGAAAGTCTGCCCTGCTGCCTAGAAACACCTCCCCCAGCTGTCCTCCCCAGGGACGCGGTGGTAGAGTGCTGTTCCATGGAGGACTGGCAGGTGTGCGCCAGCTACTTGAAAACTGCTCGTGTTAACATGACTGTCCGACAGGTGCTGGCCACAGACCAGGACTTCCCTTTGGAACCCATGGAGGAGAATAAAAGAGGCATCACCACCGAAGGTTACTGCCATCTGGACGACGAGAAGAGCCACGTAAAGCGAGCGAGGTTAAACCCTGACAGCTGAGACTTGGAGTGTAAATGACCATGCTGTTGTATTGCATTTACTTTAGCACCAAGACAAGCCAAAAACAGAGACAAGAAGAACTCATCTTGATCACACTGTTGCCTTGGAACCCATTCTGGCTAGTTAACTGACATCACATACATGCCTCCCTAACCAGGACTGGACCAGACAGGTGTTCAGTCCTGCTCAAGCAGTAATGTATGTGAAGTCCAAGGAGGTGTGACATTCCACAACAGTCTTCTCAGCCCCTGCCAGTACCTCTGAGGGAGGTAGAAGTGAGTTTCCATGTCTGTGGAGTCTTTAAATATCTCACATTTTATTGATGGGAAACGTAATAGCCCTCCTACCACCCCATCTAGTGATTTTATGATAAAATTGTGGTTCCATGAATCAACCATCCATCTCACTCCATTATTCCAATTAACATCAAATCTTTTGATCTTCCATCTTTTCTGGCCTTCTTGCTGTTGGCTTTTAAATGCAATTTTAATTGTTAGACTAAAAAAGTCCAAGGATGTCCTGTAACTCTCTTCTCCGTGATTAAACTTACTCAATTTTAAATTAAAGATCTGTATCTGTCTTTGAGGGTTAGTGTATCTGGGATTCGTTTTTTTCTATTTCTACTTGCTGTATTATTCTCACTGTTGAAGCCCCATAGCTGTTGAAGCCCTACCAAGCATGTCAAACTCGTGATCGGCGGGCCACATGCCTCATTTATGTAAAGGAGGCATGCAGCCTACGGGCTGCAAGCTTCACATGCTTGCACTATCCTGCTCTGCCCTAGGTATTCTTTGGGGCTGTCTCAGAGGAGAGAATTTTCCTTGGTGTCCCAGTCACTGCTGGCTTTTTTTGATTGCAGACAACTTGGAAAATACATGAAAGTGTGAGTTTTAATCTCTCTACCCTCACCAACTCAACTCACTATACCCTAAGCTAAATTACTGTACATTTCTTTGGACCACACCATTTTACCAGTGTTCGTGTGTGTAGTGTGCACATGTACAGAAAAGGCTAGGTCTTTAATACATAATATATATTCCAAATTCTCTATAGTGAACATACATTACTTTTGAAAAAGGCCTTTGTGATGTTTGTTTTGTGGGGTTTTTTAAAAATATATTTTTATTGATTTTAGAGAGGAAGGGAGAGGGAAAGAAATAGAAACATCAATAATGAAAGGAATCACTGATTGGCCGCCTCCCACACACCCCACATTGGGGATCGAGCCCACAACCCAGGCATGTGCCCTGACCGGGACTCAAACTGTGACCTCCTGGTTCATAGGTCGATGCTCAACCACTGAGCCACGCCACCTGGGCTTTCGAGATGTTTTGAAGGCAGGCACACACTGAGCTCAGCAGCAGCACCTTTGTAAAGTGTCCACCCACCTTTCTAAATGTGCTCTCATCAGTTTTGTTCCCGTCTGAAGCCCTTTCCGTCTCTGATCTTCCAATTGCTTTAAAATATGTCTGGCTAAGATGGATCCTCTCACCCCTCTTGCTTATCTCAGAGCCTCTTGCCTGTTTCTAGCCTCCAGCATCGGGTTTTTCCTAGAAGGGTCCCAGGCCCTCAGTGAGACATGCACGTATTGCTGAACAGGACAGGCTCGGCAGGACTTGGTTCACATGTTCTAATATTCCCAGTTCCCTTTTCACTAAAATAAAGCTGGTCTTATCCTTTTCTCTTTTCCCCTTTCTCTTTTCTTTTGATTACAGTAGGGAAAAAAATAAAACCCTAATACCCTAAGTGGATTCGACTAAGACAAATTAGAATGGTAATGAGGCAGAAAGGAGCCTGGGGAATGATTATTGATCTCAGCGTGACGGGCGAGAGGAGCTAGGCAGGAAAACCTCTCACCTGTTTTCTTCCGTTTCAAAGGTTACAGTGGGAGACAAAGCAATGCAAGTCTATTTTCTTAGCCTGGGTAGTAAATTTTTATTGATAGCCCTTTTGACCAACTATCCTATCCAAATCTGAGTCCTCATGGGGCAGAGTTTGTTAGGTCTCAATTTGTTTTATTGGTAAAAACAGAGTTCTTAATAAGATAAAATGATACTGTCGATGGAAAGTAAAATTGAGTGGTTATCAGGAAAGCTAAGTTTTAATAACACCTCCATTACTTACCTGTGTACCTTGAATAAGTCACTCAACTGAGGCCCAGTTGACCTTTTTTAAGCCACAATTACTATTTTTAAGACCCAGTTTGCTCGTCTATAAGGAGGTTTTACCAAGTAATCCTCTATTACGTACCAGCTCTGCAATGCTGTCATTTTAAAATGAGAAATTAATTTCAGAGTTTGGATAAACAGCAAACAAAGCTACCCCATGGGCAAGATTTTTGGTAAGGAAATCAACCAAAGGATAGGAAAGGTAAACAAAATGAACTTTTTAGGAGAACAATAGCCAGTAAACATGTGAAAAGATGCTAAACTCATTAGTAGTTAGGGAAATATAAATTAAAGCATGAAATATAAATTTGTACCCATTCATTTGGCAAAATTAAACAATCTCTCAACTCCTCTATCACTCACACCCTATCTCTATTCACCTCACTGTTACTGCACTGGCCCAAGCCACTATAATCTCTCAACTACATTATTGCTATACCCGCCTAACTGACTTCTTCCATGCTTGTCTCCACCGCCTACTCTCATAGTTTGTTCTTAACATAGCAGCCAGAGTGAGGCTATTAACACCCAAGACAGATTATGTCACTCATGCTCAAAACTTTAATGTCACTTCTCGTCGGAGTTGAAGCCAAATCCTTTCAGTTGCTTGCAAGTCCCTACCTAATCTGACCTCTCTGTTTCCTCTTGGTTCTTTCACCAACTCCGTTCAAGCCACGCTTCCTCCTTGTTGCACCTCTGAACAGGCCCAGGACATTCCTAGCCAAGCCTCTGCACTAGGCGGTTTGTTTCCTTTGCCTAGGACACTCCTCAAGATTTGCACTCATGTCCCTCAAAGGAGGCTCAAATATTGACTATTCCAAATCTCAGTCCCACTGGCATTCCTAATTTTCTTTACCATATTGTATTTTTTTCATAATATTTATGACAACATTCTACATAAGTGACAAAATAAGAAAAGAATGCTTTTTAAAAATTTATTATTGAAAGTATTACATATGTCCTCTTAGAAAATTATGCTTTTTAAGAGAATATGATAAATGATAATTAGTGTTTTCTTCTACCAGGCTATAGGTGCCACCGGGATAGATGTGCCCTAATTTTCTAGAACAGTGACTGGCACATAGTAGTTGCTCAATACATATTTGTTGAATGGATGGATGTCCAGTGTTGGTGGGATGTGTGAAAATGGGCACTCATTCACTACTGTGAGAAGTAAATTGATAAAGTTATTTGGAATGTAAATTTATAAAGCTATTATCAGTGTTTAGCTAAATTTTGACCCAGGGATTTTAGGTATTTTCCCTATGGAAATGCCTAAACAGGGACACAATGAAATGTGTAAAAAGATGTTCATTATCATGTTGTTCATAATAGTGGAAAACTGGAAACACCCAAATTTTAATCAGTGGGAAAGAGTTATTTAAATTATGTTCATACATTCTATGGAATATTAATACAATGCAGCTCTTTACAAGAATGTACTGACATGAAAAGGGCTCCAAGATGCACTGGTTATTGAAAAACATGAAATGGAAGATTATATGTATAATGTAAAAACTATGTAAAACTATTATGTAAGTAAAAAAAACTAATATGTAAAAACTAAACAAGACTATTTTCTGAATATGCACATACATATTTGTAAGGAAATGGGGGAAAGATACATCCAAATGTAATAGTTGGGAGAAGAAAGGTTGGGAGGTGATAAAAAGACTTTTACTCTTGATGCTTTTGTGTTGTGTGATATTTTTATAAGAACATATTTACACATTACAGAAATGTTTTAATTAGGCATAGAAAACCCTATAAAGAATCATATCCTATATAATAAAAGGCTAATATGCAAATAGACTGAACAGTGGAACAACTGGTCACTATGACATGCGCTGAGCACCAGGGGGCATGCACGGAACATGGTGAGTGTTGGCTGCGAGGGATGGTGGAGCAGGTGGGGGTGAAGGAGCAGGGCGCTGGTGGTTACTGGAAATTTTTTGCTCCCGCACACTGTGGTCCCGGCACTCACACCTGCTGCTGGCACCAGCCCCAATCACTCTGCTCCATCAGCAGGTGCAAGTGGAGCCAGTGCTGTCAGCACATGGGAGCAGGGCTGCAGCAGGAGGGGCTGAGCAGGGACACGGAGGATGGGCCAAGACCAACCCCTCTACCCACTGGAGCCTCATGGCCCACAGTTCCTTTCAAGGTGCACAAATTTGTGCACTGGGCCCCTAGTGTAGTAATAAAAAATGGAGGGACTTCATCTTTCAACTCTGTAATTACAGTTTCCTGTTATAGATCAGATCTGATGCTGTGTTAAATGATGCAGAAAGCAACTGTTCAGCTGCTTCTACAGAGGCTTTAGTTCTGGTCTCTGGGTTGGATTCTGGAGGTGGGGTGGAAGTGGCTAGGGGGGTCCTCTACCTATACAGGCAAGAGGACCAAGCTCCACCGTATTTTTGCATATCCTAAGCTCAGGTAGTTTGCTGTGCCCAGAAACCTTGATCTACCTCTACCATGAAAATATTAGATGTGGGTTTTAGTTGCTAGGTCAGCCTTAAGGTGGAACCAATGTTTGATGGCCATAGTCCCCTAAAAAGAACCACTGTTCCAGGGAAATGGCTGGGCAGAAAGCGTTGAAGGCCACACAGCCCCAAGATCTTTTATTTCTGTGAGCCCTCTGGTGAGAGTAAGAGAGAAGAACGGCAAAGCCTGTACATGTCCTGGGTGCACTGTGTGTTCCCTGGTGTTAGGTGGTAACCATCTGTCCACCACAGTGAGATGGGGCCTGCGGTGTGCCCAGCCAGTGGTGGCTGTTTCCCTTTGTTCCCATCAGCAGCGACCAGTCACCAGCTACAGGCCCTACAGATGTTGCTTCTTCATTTTTAGAGGTGCTTAACGCCGAGGCTCCAGTCTCAACAGCTGGGAAGGAGTGAACAAACCATCTCCCCTGGGTTTCTGGCTATGCAAGATTTTTCTTCTCTCTGAGGATAGTCATGCCATGTCTATGTCATTAACCAACTACTCCTGCCTTAGGAAGGGTCGAGTGGTGGAACAATTGCCTACGGGGGTAAAAGAAATATCAGCCTCTGATGTCAGCAGCCCTTGTTACTTATTCATCCAGCAGCTATTGAGCATCTGTGAAGCGTGAGTCACTGTGTTGTATGCTTGTGACAGGCATTGTTTCTGCCCGCAGGGCAGGTCCTACAGTGAGTAGGAAAAACACCCACATAAACAGGTTGTAATCTAGGCTGTGATGGGCCAAGTACAAGGTGCCATGGAAGGCGCACTTACCCCACAGTGGGTAAGGAAAGGCTTCCTGCAGGAAGTGACCTAAAAGCTGATAAGGAAGGAGCCACAGTTAGCTTCTCTCCCTTCTGTCTGGCAAAAGACCATTTATTACCTCTCGTTTCAAGTGGCCTTGTGGGAATAAAAATGTCTGGGAATGTGAGGACTTTAATAGTTTATGATTCTGTAAAATTCATATTGAGATTCATTTATTTTGTTCAAAGCCCTTAGCAATGTCTGCTATTACATCTTTTGTTCACTCTTATTATATGTATCCTCCACAGAATAAGCTCCCCAAGGGCAGGCATTTTTCTGTCTTGTTCACTGATATTTCCCTGACATCTCAAATGCTGCCTCGGCCTTCAGACCAAAGGGTCCCGGGTTCGATTCCAGTCAAGGGCACATACCTTGGTTGCAGGCTCCTCCTTGACCTGGGCCCTGGTCAAGGCTTATGCATGAGGCAACCAATTGATGTGTTTCTCTCAAATCAGTGTTTCTCTCTGTTCCTCTCTCTCCCATTCTCCCTAAAGAAAACAAATAAACAAAAAAAAAACAATTGAAATATCTTCGAGTGAAGATTAACAACAAAATAAATAAATAAATAAATAAATAAATAAATAAAATAAAATAAAATAAAATAAAATACTGCTGCCTGACCTGCGTGGCTCTGTAATTGAGTGTCAACCTATGAACCAGGAGATCACAGTTCAATTCCTGATGAGGGCACATGCCTGGGTTGCAGGTTCGATCCCCAGTAGGGGGCGTGCAGGAGGCAGCCAATCAATGATTCTCTCTTATCATTGATGTTTCTATCTGTCTCTCCCTCTCCCTTCCTCTCTGAAATTAATAAACATATTTTTAAAATAAAATACTGCTTGGTGTATAGTAACTGCTCAATAAAACATGTTGGATGATTGAAGAAAGTTTTCTTTGTCATATTCTTAATGTGGCATTGCATATCACAAAAGTCCTATGCAAATGACTGCAGAAAGGTAACAGCATCATTTTGCATATACATGTGTCCAGGCAGCCTTTTCTGAGAGAGTCTCTGCTTATCCTAATTGGGAATGTGGCTAGAAAAGACATTTCCAGCACCCAAGTTCTCCTCCCACACCTATCAAATTACAAAAAGCGATCAAGGGCTGGAAGAACATCCAGCCTCCCTGTGAACTAGAATCAGAACAGACTTCAGGACCACGGCACCTGCAGTATTTCCCTCTCCCATCCTCCCTCCCTCTCTGATATTGGCTTCCCTCTGCCTGTCTTCCTTTTGACTGGACCCTCTTGGCTGATTTCTCTTACACCAGGCTGCCCCCTTGTGGCATCTTCAGTCCCTGACCTCCCAGGTTGGTTGTGTGCAGATAATTAACCTAAATCCAATATGCTGGAGGAAAGCCAGCTTGGTATTCTTCAGGTCAGCTGTCTGCCCCCAGTCCAGTCAGCTGTGACCAGGGAGGCAGGGATACTTTCCTCTTCAAAAACAAAGGAAGGCCCAGCCAGTGTGGTTCAGTGGTTGAGCATCAACCTGTGAACCAGGAGCTCACAGTTCAATTCCAGGGCACTTGCCTGGGTTGCGAGCTCGATCCCCAGTAGGGGACATGCAGGAGGCAACAGATCAATGATTCTCTGTCATCATTGATGCTTCTATCTCTCTCTCCCTCTCTCTTTCTCTCTAAAATCAATAAAAATATATTTTTTTAAAAAACAACAAAGGAAAGACAATGGGTAAAAGGACAGGAAATGATTAGTTGAAGAAACTATCAGCATCCCTATTGATATTTATTGCACAGTTTTCCTTCTAGAATGAAGTGCTGGAGAATGTTAACCCCAGATCACTGGACCAGGAGAAAATAAAGGTGGGGCCTGTCCATGGCTCTCCCCAACCCCCTTCACCAGAGCCTACTCCCAGACCCTCTCCCAAACAAAATTCATCAGCGTCCCAGCGACATCTCCCCCTCTTATCACCTCTTGGGCATTGTTGAAAGGTTGGAGATGAGGGTGAAGCATCTGGTGCCCCCACAGTCCCATTGCTTTGTAGACCAGAGGCAATCGAGGCGCTTTCAGCCAGAAAAATATAATTTAAGGGCTTGACATCTGGCTGGGAGCAGAGAGCTGTGTTGCCATGGCAACGCCTCGCTTCATTAAAAGCAGCACATACCTGAGTTTGGTCACATCCACACTCAGGCACGTAAAGCACCCTGTCAGCAGCCCCACAGCATGCACACGTAGCTCTGGCAGAAACCCTCTGCAGGAGCAAAGCTCACTCTCTGCCCTCCTACCCAACACAGACACGACACTCATACCCTTTCCTGCAGCACCTCGGCCAGTCACAGAGACACCAAGAGCACCCCAGCCAGCACTGCACTCCAGGGAGCTGAGGGTGCTATTTGAGTGCAAACCCTGTGACAGGCCCACATAGAAGCCTGCTGGGGTCCATATGCTTTTCCAACGTTCCTCACAGTCGGCATATCTTCATCTTCCTTTATGAATCTCCTTTGTATGTCATCTCCAAGTTTAACAACTCCCAGGAGGATGGGGGGTAGGGGCGAGAGCAGTGGTGGCCCTGTGCACAGATGCTTCTCTGTTTTCTTGAGAGGACAGGGCTTTGGCCAACACCCTACAGGTACTTACCCAGAGGCCCCAAGCACCCAATGATGATGTTTCTGCCCCTCCCTTAACTCGGGCTGTGGTGGACAGGATGGATTAGAACAGGGAGGCATGAAGGCACAAGAATATTTATTGCAACACTATCTGTAACTAAAAAATCTGAAATAGCCTGGATGTCCATTCACATGGAATAGGTAAATAAATGGTGGCACATTCGCACGGGAGAACTGTAGAGATTTCAAAGAGGTATGTACATAATCCGTATATATTCACATGAAAATAGGCCAGGATGTAAAGTGTGATCCCACAAGGTGTTTTATCATGTGTAGTTTTACCACTTATACACATGGATTTTTATAATGTGTGGGGAAAGGTCTGAGAAGAGTGGGATCAAGAGAGGGATGAGGAGCCCTAGCCGGTTTGGCTCAGTGGACAGAGCACTGGCCTGTGGACTGAGGGGTCCCCAGTTCAATTCTGGTCAAGGGCCCGTACCTTGCTTGCAGGCTCGATCCCCTGCCCTGGTCAGGGAGTGACCTTGGTCAGGGAGCGTGCAGGAGGCAACCAGTTGATGTGTCTCTCTCACATCGATGTTTCTCTTTCTCTGTCTCTCCCCCTCCCTTCCACTCTGGAAAGCCCTAACTGGTTTGGCTTAGTGGGTAGAACGTCGGCCCATAGACTGAAGGGTCCCAGGTTCGATTCCAGTCAAGGGCATATACTTTGATTGCGGGCTGGATCCCTAGTAGGGGGTGTGCTGATGGATGTTTCTAACTCTCTATCCCTCTCCCTTACTCTCTGTAAAATCAATAAAAAATATATTTAAAAAATAAAAATCACTGG